AAATAGAAATAGAAATAGAAATAGAAATAATAGAATAGAATGGAATTAGAATAGAAATAGAATAGAATAAAACAGAACAGAATTCTTTATTGGCCAAGTGTGATTGGACCCACAAGGAATTTGTTTCCAGTATAGAAGCTCTCAGTGTACATACTAACAACAAAGTGATAAATCAGAAGATGCAAAAATGTTATGTGTAAAAATATTACATACAAATACACAAATATCAAAAATATTATGGAGGGGATTAATAAGGTGATTGGAGGGGTTGCTTAATTTCTGGTGTGGCATGTTATGATAAGCTAAAAGACTGAATAAAAAAATCAGAAACAAGGGGTCCTTAGTGCTTTCTGAGCTTGGCTGTTTTTTTGGCAGACATTTCATTGGCTAAACTAGGCTTAGCATTGATGACGTTACCTAGTTTGGGTGATGAAACGTCTGCAAGGGGAAAAAAACAAGCTCAGAGAGCACCAAGGACCTCATGGTTCAATCCTGAGCTATGAACATTATAATAGAATAGAATAGAATAGAATAGAATAGAATAACAGAGTTGGGTGGGACCTTGGAGTTCTTCTAGTTCAACCCCCTGCCTAGGCAGGAAACCCTATACCGTTTCAGACAAATGGCTATCCAACATCTTCTTAAAGACTTCCAGTGTTGGGGCATTCACAAGTTCTGGAGGCAACTTCTGTTCCACTGATTAATTGTTCTCACTGTCAGGAAATTCCTCCTCAGTTCTAAGTTGCTTCTCTCCTTGATTAGTTTCCACCCATTGCTTCTTGTCCTGCCCTCAGGCGCCTTGGAGAATAGCTTGACTCCCTCTTCTTTGTGGCAACCCCTGAGATATTGGAAGACTGTTATCGTGTCTCCCCTAGTTCTTCTTTTCGTTAAACTAGACATAGCCAGTTCCTGCAACCGTTCTTCATATGTTTTAGCCTCCAGTCTCCTAATCCTCTTCTCTGAACCCTTTCCAGAGTCTCCACATCTTCTTTTACATCGTGGTGACCATGTTTGATATATCAAACTGCTGATACACCCTCAATCATTAGTCTTGACTAAACTGGCTAAATACATACAATGCATGCATTCCATGCATCCATGCGTGTCTGTGTGTGTGAATATACGTATAGCATATTGTGTAATGTTATCTGTATTTGATAAGGCTATATGGTAGGTAGCCCCCTATGACTTTGATCGTGGGATGTATCAGAAATATCGACGTCCAGAAGGTTGTTTTATTGCGTTGAGGTCTCAAACACAGACTTAACTTGCTCTTCCTTTTGCCCATTTCATCCTCAACAGCCCTGTGAGGTGGGCTCAGTGAGATTACGACTGCAAGAGGATTTTAACCTGTTTCCCCCCCCCTCCCTGGTTTTGTTAACAGCAAACGGACCTCCTGCTGAATATTTCCCATCCCTCTGCAACACCCTTGTTTTTAAATCTTTGTGTCTTATGTTTATTGCGTTGATATGTTTTTAAAATCCGTTTATTGAATTTATACGCTCGTGGTCCAAAGGGACTCTTTTCCTTCTTGCTAATTTCCTCCATTTCCCCCTCGAAGGCTGGCGGGGCGAAGCTGTTCAGAAGGATGGGACCCCCTGCCCACCGCCAGAAAACAGCGAAAAGCAGCCAAGAGCGGAAGAAGGGAAAGCCTGGGAAAGGAGACCCCGAGGAGATCAAAGGAGGAGGAGGAGGCGGTGTCAAATTGGAGCCGGCGGTGGCGGATTATTTCCGCCAGGCGCACGAAACCTTCAAGTCTGGCTTTGCCTCCGACGAGGAGAAAAGTAATTTTTTGGGGTTCATTTTAGGGGAGACCCTAAAGCACTTTGTAGAAGAAATCCTCGCGTTAACGACCGTAATGGACCCCGGCCCATCAGCGTCGCCAACACGTGACGTTCGTAACTTGGGCCATCCATGTGACCGAGTCAATTTTAGGAGCTGATTTGGAGCGGTCGTTAAAGTGAATCCGTGGGGTCGCTATGAGCTGGTCCCACCATGGCGGTAAAATGAGGTCATGTGATTTATAAACAATCAAATGGGGAAGTGGCGGTAATTGTCATGTGACCACGAGGGGCAGCCATTGGTCCTTCCAATATGGGGTATAACTAGCCCCACGGAAGTCTGCCATAACTTCAAACGGTGGGTAAGTAATCGGTCATAAATTGAGGAGTACCAGGCCACAATCTGGTCCATTGGAAATCAGTAATCTGGGAAGATGGGAGGTGTTGCAAGGAATTCTGGGAGTTGACGTCTACCCATCTTCGGCTCTCCCAAGGCTGAGAAACCCTGAACCAAATGGTACAGGCAGTCCTTGACTTACAACGGTTCATTTAGCGACCATTTGAAACACTGAAAAGGCGATTTACTGCTGCTCCTCACACTTACGACTGCTGTGTGGCGTTCTCACTGTCCCACCGTCCCACCATGATCAAAATTTGAGAGTTTGCCAACTGTCATGTACAACGTACAACCCCAATTGAGTCCCAAATTTCTGTTGTTAAGGGAGACATTTGTGAAAGGAGCTTTGTCTCATTTTACGACCATTTTCACCACCATTAAGTGCATCACTGGAGTTGATCAGTTAGTCACGTGGTTGTGGGACACCGTCATAAATACGAGTCAGTTGCACGCATGATCACACGATCACGGGGAGGCTGCTAAGGTCTTAACTGAAAAACGGGCATAAATTGCTTTTTCCAGCGCCGTTGTAACGTGAACGGTCACTAAACGGAAGTGTTGTAAGTCGAGGACTATCGGATTGAGCATCCTGCGATCGCCATTTGCGGCCTTCCCAGATGGCTTCTGATGAGTAAAATCAATGGGAGAAAAGCCGGATTTGCTTAATGACTGAATGTTTCACTTAACGACTGATGATTCGCTTAACAACCCTGATGAAAAAGTTTACAAAATCCCTCAGGGAAAAGGGCGGCCTATAAATAAACTCAACTACTACTACTACTACAAAATGGCAACCATTTTGTCACAATCACCCTATTCGCAAGGGAAACTGTGCTCCTACTTGTGGTCGTAAGTCGAGGACTCCCGGTAATGGCCGTTATGTTGTCCCCCACAGGTCTGTTTGTGAGCAACGTCCTGACGGAGGCCACGGATGTGGCGCTGCCGCTGGCTCTGGATGCCTCCGGGTCGCTGTTCCTCCAGGCGCTGCTGCCGTCCGCCTCGGGGGTCAGCTTGGAGCCTCTACTCCGGGCGCTGCTCCCCTCTCTGCGCCCGGTCGCCTGCCACCCCTGCGGCGCCCACATCCTGGAAGCGGCCCTGTGGAGGGCCCCCCTGCTGATTTCGGGAGGGGACGAGGAGGCCCAGGCGCTGGAAGAGCTCCTCCTGGATCTGGGGAAGGGTCTTCGGGACGAGCTGGCGACTTTCGCACTGGACGCCCATGCCAGCTTTGTGGTGCGGACTCTGCTGCAGGTCCTGGGAGGGGCCCGTGTCGGCTCGGACGGGGGACGGGGGCTCCCGGGCTCAGGTGAGTCACGGCCATTGAGCGCGTCCCCTATCTTGGGATGAGAGTTTGGGGAGGGGGTGGAAGCCATTGCCCACTTGCCCACCGGTTGAGATCCAGTGTAGGAGAACGATGAGACCTGGGTTAATGCCCCCCCCCGTGCCCCCCTCCCCTGGCACGTTCCTTCGGCTCAGTGCACCTGGTTTGTTGATTTTTATTTTATTTTGTTGTGTTTTTGTTTTGTTTTATTATTTTTTTATTTTATTTTATTTTTTATTTATTGCATTATTTTACTCATTTTATTTTTTATTGTTGTATTCATTTTTGGTTTTATTCCTTTTTATTATTTTATTCATATTATTTTTTATTCATTTCATTCTTTTTTATTCATTTTATTATTTTTTTATTTTATGTTATCTTTTTTATTTACTTCATTTTATTTTGCTTATTTTATTTATTGTTTTATTTTATTTACTGTGTTTTTTGTATTTTATTTTGTTGTGCTTTTGTTATTCTATTTTCTTTGTTTATTTCATTGTTGTATTTTATTATTTTTTATTTTATATTCCTTATTTTTCTTTATTTTATTTTTTATTTTATTTTGTTTACTTCATTTTATTTTACTTCTTTATTTTAGTTTTATTTATAGTTATTTTTTGTTTTATTCATTTATATTATATTTTCTTTATTATTCTTAATTTTATGTTTAATTTGTTTTGTTTTCTATTTTCATTTATTTATTTATTTGGCTTATTTTATTTTTTATTTTACTTATTTACTTTTGTTTTATTTATAGTTATTTTTTGTTTTATTCATTTATATTATTTTTCTTTATTATTTTTAATTTTATGTTTAATTTGTTTTGTTTTTTATTTTCATTTATTTATTTATTTTATTTTTTATTTAACTTATTTACTTTTGTTTTATTTAGAGTTATTTTGTGTTTTATTCATTTATTTTATATTTTCTTTATTATTTTTAATCTTATGTTTTATTTATGTTTTGTTTTTTATTTTTATTTATTTAGCTTATTTTATTTTTTATTTTACTTATTTACTTTTGTTTTATTTATAGTTATTTTTTGTTTTATTCATTTATTTTATATTTTCTTTATTATTTTTAATTTTATGTTTTATTTAAGTGTTTTATATTTTTATTTATTTACTTATTTTGTTTATTTTTATATTTTATTAATTTTTGCTTTTTTATTTTTTATTATTATTTAGTATATTATTTTATTTTAATTTTATTTTAATTTTGTTATCATTGATTTTGTTTTATTTGACTTATTTTGTTTATTTTATTTTAATTTTAATTTTGATTTAATTGATTTTGTTTTATTTGACTTATTTTATTATTTTATTTGACTTATTTTATTTGATTTCATTGATTTTATTTTATTTTACTTATTTTTTATTGTTATTGTATTTTTTAATTATTTTTATATTATATTATTTTTAATTTTTTGTGTTATTTTACTTTCTTTTATTTTTATTTTATTTATTTGTATCCCACCTTTATTATATTTACAAATAACTCCGCATTTGAAATCCTCAACTCAATGTATGATGTCCTCCACCTGTGGACTTCAACTCCCAGAATTCCTCAGCCAGCCATGATGGGGAGTTGAAGTCCGCAAGTCTTAAAATTGCCAAGGTTGTTGGATACCCTGGTTAATGCCATATTTTGCCAGGGGTTTAGACCAAGTTAAACTTTTCCTTGCAGGAAAATCAGGGTGTCTAATTCACCCCTTCCCCTTTTTCTGCCCCCTTTCCACCATCTTAGGGTCTCTTCGTCCCCAGGCCAAGAGTTCGAAGGTGGGGAGTGAAGGACCAGCGGTATTCGAAGTCCCCGCCAGTTTCCTTTCCCTCCTACGGGAATTCAAAGGCTGCTTCCAGGAGCAAATTGCAGGTGAGATGCTGCCATCTGCTGGGCAGGTGGAGGAACGGCAGTCTTGCGCTGCTTCCCAGCAAATACAGACAGTCCTTATTTAACAACAGCAAGCGAGTGGGGAATTTCCGTGATAAGTAGTTGAGGTTGTTACGCGGGTCTCCATAGGAGCTGACTCAATTTTACGGCCATTTTTATGACAGTCAAGTGACTCACGGCAGTCGTTAAGTGAATCAAGTGGTCGCTGAGCGAATCCCTTTTATGAATGGGTGTTTTTTGCTGCACTCTAGCAAAAAATGTTGCAAATTGGGGTCACGGTACTCGGACTTTGCTACCCGTTGTAAATATGAACTGGTTGCATGCCTGTAATGGGGGACAGTCATAACTTTGAGGATGGGTTGTAAGTATCTTTTATGGGGTCGGTTACTATGATCACATGAGCACAGGGTGGGGGGGCAGTCATAAATTTGAGGTCTTATTATTTTTTTATGGCGTCTGTCGTAACTTGAAAAAGTCATTAAGGGAATGGTCATTA